GAGAGCTTCCAAATCCATCTTCATGCTCTCAAACCCAAGTTGAGAGAATGAATTCCCCTCATTGAACTCCAAATGTTCAAAGAGGTTTTGGAAGCTTGCAACCCAAAGTTGCATCTTCCCTTCTCCTCCCTACAACTTAAAAAGTTGTATGAAAGTCTCAGACAAATCGCCTATTGGTTCAATCAAAACCAACGAATAATTTAATTTAAATCATTTATTTGTTGAACCAAATTCAACAAATAATCCCATAGCAAGCAAAGGAGAAACTCCTAGCTTTCTTCCATTCTCCTAAACCTAAATTAGGAGAATGCTTTCCCCTCTTTGGACAACAAATGTCCAAAGAACTCTCTTTGATTTGCAATCTCCAATTGCATCTCCCCTTCTCTTGTCTACAAACCAAAATTGTAGAGAATTTTCCCTCTTTTTACAACTCAAAGGTTGTAGGAAAATATTTTCATTCTCTTAAATCAAGTTATGATAATGTATATTTCTCTTTGAACATCAAATGTTCAAAGAATGTTCATGGGGTTGTAGCTTCCAAGTTGCGCCCCTTCTCCTCCATTCCATTCCTCCAACCGAAGTTGGATGGAGGGATTCCGTTATTTGGACACCCAAAAGTTCATATAACTCTTGATGACTTGTAACCAAAATTACAAGTCATCCCTCTTTTCCTTCGACTCCAAAAAAGTCTAAGGAATCCTCCCAACCTTAGCCTAAGAGCTATGAGTTTGATCCAACTCTCCTTCAACTCCAAAGTTGTATGAGATTTCCCCTCTCTTTAGCTCCAAAAGCTAGAGGGAGTTCCCCTACATTTAGCCTAAAAGCTAAATGTTGAATTTCTTTCTTTCTCCTCTTAGCTCCAAAAACTAAGGAGAATTCCTCAACATGTAACCCAAAAAGCTACATGTTGGACACCTTCCTTAGACCCAAAATCTAAGTAATTACTTGCATTCAATTCAAAATTGAGTGATTTTCCTATGACATTTAAAATACTAACTCGTAGATGTTCCTTAGGAGTCATCCTTTCTGTTGAAGTTTATCCTACCCTATTGGACGAATTTCACCAAGTCCTAAGTGAAGCCCCTTAGGCAAGTTGATCTTACCCTATTAGATAAACATTTCTCTTATCCAAACATTAAGAGAATTCTAATACACCTAAAAATTACTTAGGTTCCTTTTGATACAATAATCAATTATCTACCCCAAAAAGTGGGATGCCTACATTATTGTGTCTTAGGATTCATAAGTAATAGGCTTACCCCAAAAGCAAGTATGTGGTTACTTTATGGGTTCTTCATAACCCTCCTAAATATGAAACATTTAAAAATCAAATAAAATCTTTAAGTCACAAACAACTTAAAGTGAACCACCCTCGGATAAAGATTAAGTATCTTCATTCCAAAATAAAACCAAACTCCCTAGTGTGACATGCTACACAAGCCTCACACACTTAGGTGCACAGCCCCTTAGGCATACTAGAATTAGGATTTTTCTTTTTTGAGCATGTGTTTGATGTTGTGGTGTGATTGCCCTTGGATTGTCTGCGTTGTGGGCACTTGCCTTTAAGTGGATAGTGTAGAAATATATATGTTCTTCTTGCAGGTGATTATATCTAAAAGGGGATGCTCATAAATAATAAACTGCTTGCATGGTAGGTGCTGCTTAAACCCCCGCCAAAAGATATGGCCAATAGGATAGAAGCAGATGTTTAGCACACTAAGTGCTAGGCAAATTTTGGATGTAATGCTTTATTATATATAAACTGCTTATGACTCTATTTTGCAGGTTTGAGTCTTTTTTCTTTTCAAATATGTATTTGATAGAATTAGGATGTGTAATCAAACTTGTGGGGGTCTTGATCAAAAGAAGGTGAACCAAATGAATGTACCTGTAGAAGGTGATGCCTGAGGTTCAGTTGGAAAGATAAAGCTTCAAAACCCCACAAGTATAGTTTGTAATCATATGACTGGGTTGTATAATGGCAGGCAACTCAGTTGTCAAATCTGGTTGTAATAATGTGGACTCTATTTTCTTTCCTTGCTTTTGATATAAATAAAAGCATGTTTGATTGTTTACCTGATTGCGCAATAGAAAAACTTGCTCTTTCCTAGGTTTCTTACATTGCTTTTGCTTGGGTGTGGCTTGGACTGTTTGATGCGGTAGGCTCTTAGGACAAAAATAAGATTTCTATCCATTAAAATGTAATCAATCTAAAAATTAATTTAGGTTCCATGATTTTCAAATAAAAAAAAAATTGCATGGTTTTCTTTCGAAGAGCTAAGTTTTACAAAAACTTAAAACAATCATACATAGCCAAAGTGTGTCACATATAGAATGCCCTCACTTAAGGACTAGATAACAAAAGTCTTTTTCTTTGTGAGTCAGCATATGCATACCCACATAATTAGGCATCTTGACCTCAAAGCCAAGTTGTAAGACCTACCTTCTAAGTAAAATCAACCCTATCACTCTACATTTGCATTGAGACCGGATGACATGATTTTAAAAGCGATTAGGCGGGTTAGCTGGTAGTCCCTTCTAGGCGGGACGATAAATCCAGAGGTCGGACAGATTATGCCTCATGTGAGGTGTAATTTGTAAGTCCCTTTTGCACTCGTTAGATTTAGGTTCGAGGCACTACCTATCGGTAGTCCTCATCTTAGTCTTAGAGTCCGAGGCACGGGTTGATTCTAAATCGCCCTATAAGCCCTCATCCATCGGGCAATTCTTACAATATATGTTGAAGGAACATAAGCCCCAACATTCTAATAAAAAGTTCAACTTAAATAAAAAATTAGATTACTAAAATGTAAAGCCTAACATAGGTTAGTTTGAGCACCTCTGAGTTTCTCTCAGAATCAAGTGCTCCTACCTCACCTCCCTTGGCTCTCATTCCAAAAATCTAATTCTAAGTTGATTCAATCTTTAAAATTCTTAAAGGCCGAAAACCCTTTTGTTAATACTTTCATGAATTTTAAAACAAAATCAAAATTTAGCCAATGTTTAAAACGACTTCCAAAACAAAGCAAAACCACTAGTTTAATCAAAAGCTTTCTCAAACCAAAGTTTGGAATGTCTGTACCCCAGAAATAAATAAACCCCGCTCGACCAAATATCGAGTGGGGGAATCTCTGTTCAAATTGTAAATTTTGTGATTGAGTCCATAAGGAAATGATATTTTTACCCTCCGGGGTAATATATCATCAATCTTATGCCGTGCTCAATTATAAAATATGCAATCTGTTTGAGGATACAAAAATTCTCTAACATTCTTGTGCCAGATCGAATTAGCCCAGGAAATAGTAGCTTCCAGAGAGTAAAATCCAGCCAAATACTCTCTAAAACTACCCAAACCACCACAAGCTTTTGGTTTACAGATTCTATCCCATGAAATCATGTGTAATTTATTCTTACCATCCACTTCACCAGAGAAAAGGACTTAGAGGAGATCCTCTTAAAAAATTTTCAAAACCGTTTTAGGTATAATAGATCCTCTAATCCAATATGCAATAGAGTTAATCATGGTGAATTTAAGAAATTGTAACCTGCCAGCAAAAGAATGTAAACTTGCCCTCCTGCCAAACAGTTTTTTGGTGATAGAATCCGTCAAAGGCAGAAAATCTGCTATCTTCAAAACATTAAAAGAAAGAGGAATGCCCAGGTAAGTGATGCAATCAGAGATATTAAAAATACCTAAAGCATCACAGATATAGTTCTTGTTTCCCAAGCATTTAGGGAATATAATAGAACTGTTGTCCAAATTGATGTGCAAGCCCGAGGCATTTGCAAAACTACAAAGAGCTTCAGACAAAATATGACAGTTATTAACGTTAGCTTCACCAAAAACCAGTACGTCATCAACGTAAAAAAGATGAGAGATGCAAAAATCATCCATAGAAAAGCCTTTAAAGCCACTATTATCCAATAAAGTGCAAAATGCATTCATAACCAGACAAAAGAGGAGAGGGCTGAGAGAGCAGCCTTGGCACAAGCCAGCAGTAAAGCGAAAGAATCCCTCCAATGCACCATTAAGGATGATAGAGAAATTTACATCATATATGCAAGATTTAATCCAACTTACAAAATGTTGTGGGAAACCTTTCTGCAAGAGCCTGTTAATTTAAAATTCTCTAGAGATCGTATCAAAGGCTTTACGAATGCCAAGCTTAGCACAGAAGATTTTAATGCTACTTCTAGTGCAGAAAGTGAGAATTTCTTTTCCCAGCAAAATGTTATCCGTAGAGATTCTGGATTTAATAAATCTAGCTTGATTGACGTTCACAGTGAAGGGCATGGTGTGAGCAAGTCTAGCGGCAAGAATCTTAGCAATGCATCTATAAAGAACATTACACAAAGTAATAGGTCTAAAGTTGGAAATAGAAGAAGCGTGCTCTTGAGAAATACGAAGTGAAAGGGCAAGCAGAAAAAAAGAAAAAAATTTGCTCCGAACCTCTATTTTGAATCCCTCAAATCTCGCTGCCTTCACCTCGATCAAATCGTATTATTGAGACGAGTGCAAATAAGAAAGGCATGTCAATTCTCTTTTAAGGGGAGACTCTCGAGCGTCTACAACATCCGTTCCCTTCAGCACACAAGCTCTTCTGCCTCCAGCTTTTGACCCGCCAACCCCACTCAAAGAAGTTCCAACCAACCTCCTTACTCGTCAAAGAGCCAGATTTCACGGCCACTGTCTTACACAGCAAGGCAGGGTCCCGTTTCTTTCTTTCTCGGTTCGTTACTCGCCTGGAAGCGCCGAGTTCTTTCCAAATCACAAGTTGTCCGGACCTCTACTCCACACGATTTCCTCAAATAGCAGCCCGTCCCTCCATAACTCTCCTCAAAATCTCAGGCGACCTCAAGCAACTAGCAGCTCGCACTTCCTCAGAACTGAAGTCTGCCTCTAAGCATTAAATAATAGAGCTCTGTATTCATTCGAAAAGTCTGGCATGTGAATCACGTTCTCAAACTTGTGTTTTTCATAGACCACCGAATCTGCAGCTTTTTTTTTATGTAAATCTGTCTTGTCCATTTTATGTGAAGGAAGAAGACAAAGGACAGGTTCTGACCCTCCCACGTGAGATCTTGTTGCCTTCACTGTTCCTTCTTCCCAATCATGTAAAAAAAAAAGCTCATCACTCGCTCAAGTGGCTACAGCCCATTTTGCCCTCTCCAAAGACCTAAAATCTGTGACAAAACTGTCTTTAAACCATCCCAATACAACCTCTTCAAAGCACACCTGAAACCAGCATATCTATAAGGCCCAAACAGTAACCCAAACTCCACTTCTTAAAGCCCACAATCTACCAAAATCAACCCACATGAAACCAAGGTTTAAAATTGCGTATTCGGGTATTGAGGCGTTTTTCGTTCGTGAGGCGAGGCGTAAGCCTCAAGGCGATTTGAGGCGTAAGCCTCAAAATAAAAAAATTGCGTAAACATAAAATAATAAATTTTGTATATACTAATGAGTAAATAATATATAAAACATAAAAATGCACAAGATAAATAGCAATAACATTAACATATCACATAAGAAGTTAGGAACTCACTAGTCATTAGCATTATCATCACTCATCAGTCGTCACTAAGGGGGTCTTCATTTGAATCATCATTATGATGAGTTGCTCTCTCCTCTTCCCCCTCTCCTATAGAGTCCAATATCTCCCAATCAGCTTCTTCTTTCTCATTATTAGTTATCTTCCTCTTCCCTAAATAGTAAATATTTTTGAACAATATCATAATGAATAATAGTGTAATACATTAATAAAAGTTTAAGAAAAGAAAACTATATTATTTATATACCTTTTTTGATTTGTTCTTGAGTTGTGGTGGATGTGGATGCTTTAAGACCATCAAAGAAATCAACATTTAAATCTTCATCTTGTAATTCAGACGGCATCACTTCAACTTCATCATCTACAAACCACTCATCATCAGATGCCACATCATCGCAAAGCAAAGGATCTTCATCATCCATTAATCCTTTTTTCTTCAAATTTCTATCTCTAAGTCTCCTATTGTACATAATGTACACCAGTGAGTTCATCCTCAATGTCGACAAGCGATTTCTCCTCTTTGTATGTAATTGGTTGTAGGTACTCCAATTTCTTTCACAACCACTATGATGCACAGACACAGACACGGCGACTCGGATACGACACGACAAGGACACGGGACACGTCAGTTATTAAAAATATAGGACACAGACACGGGTTGGACACGGTATTATAGTTTTTATATTTAAAAAATAGTGTATAAAAATTAAATAAGTATAATTTTAAAAATAATTTGAAAATAATAAGTCATTTAACTAGAATTTGTGCTTAAAATGATTAATATTAGGATGTTGAGAGTCACGCGTCGATGCCG